TGTGTTTTCTAACATACTTTAAAATCTATAGCCATAAAAATAAAAACTTTTCATGCCAGCTGAAATCAACACTTCATATTTTATATTTTGAGGGTATAATGTGGTCTTTGGGAGCTCTGGTAGCATAGTGGCTAAGGCACTTGACTGCTAACCAGAAGGCAGGCGGTTCAAACCCACCAGCCACTCCTCGGAAGGAAGGTTGGGCAATCCTACTTCCGTAGTGATACTGCCTCGGAAACCCAAGGAGGGGTCGCTATGAGTCGGGGCCGACTCGATGGCAAACAACAACAACAACAACAACAATGTGGTCTTTATGTTTTTCATTTAATTGATGAAAAGTCAGAATTGTGAGCACAAGGATATCTTTTTCATCTGGGTCTCTTGGTCTTCACTTGCTCAGAACACCTCTCTTGAGGAAAAAACCCTACATTCTTGTTAATATAGTATGAGAGAAGTTGTATACCTTAAATCAGTGTTTTATAAATTTGCTTCATTAGAAAACAGGCTATAAATCCTAGTTCTAGAGTAAACCAAAAAACCCAAAAAAGTAGGGCTCAGAAAATCACAGATACCCCACACAAATGTGGTAAACATTGTGCTGAGTCAGAGTGACAGTCATTATTGTCTAAATTAATTAAAAAGGTTTAATTGAGCTAACTCTGGACTGGTTAATGCAGATATATCTGTTGGCATCTACTTTTTTTTTTTCACTTTTATCCTGAAATGATTACACACTTCTATGAATGAATTTTACTGGGGATAATAGAAGACTGAAAGGTGACTTCAGGGTTTTATATAGTATTTCTGGAAGGTCTTTAGAAAATCATGTGTCACAAGGGCTAAGTGACTTCATGGCTGTCACTGGCTGATGCCCATCTCTCTGAGGCTGGAATCAGAGAGGGGTATGGTTCTGCAAATGAAGCCTAGGCACCAATTCACATGAATGCCTTCTCTGTGGCTAAGTTAAAGAGGTCAACTTCTGGGAGCAAGGTCAAGTTCACTGAACTGGAAAGGAGATAGGAGCAGGAGTATGTAAGTGTTCCAGGTAGAGTAGATTAGGAAGAAGAGGTGGAGATAGAAGACAGGACAAGCTAAGATGAAAATTCAGAGAAGGATTGAATCCAAAATCTGGCTGAGGTACAAACCAGAGTGAGGGACCAGTGTAGACAGAGACAGAGAGGGAGAAGTCATGGGATAGGACTGGATGAAATAAACAGACATGGATTGGAGTTACTGATTCAGATACTCACACTAGAAAATCTCAGATTGAGTGGGAGACCCTAACCCATAAAACCAACCCATTGCCATTGAGTCAATTCTGACTTGTAGCAGCTCTGTAAGGACCGAGTAGAACTGCCCCATAGAGTTTCCAAGGCTATAAATCCTTAAGGAAGCAGAGTGCCACATCTTGCTCCCATGGAGCGGCTAGTGAGTTCAAACCTCCAACCTTTCAGTTAGCAGCCAAGCACTTTTAACAACTGTGTCACCAGGTCTCCTTACAAAACCCTAATATATGCATAAATCTTAATGGGAATGTGAGAGTAGGATGAGTGGAAGAGTGAAATAGGGAGGGACTCTATGGTCTGTAAAGATGCCATGTAGTTTCTTTCCTTCTTTTTTTTTTTTTATCTTTTTATATTTGTGGTGGTTGTTAGCTGTCCTGAAGTCAGCTCCTAAATCATGGCGACCCCATGCACAGCTGAATGAAAGGCTGCCTGGTCCTGCACCACCCTCATGTTCAGTTGGGGATTGGATCTTGTGATCCATAGAGTTTTCATTGGCTGTTCTCCTTTCAAAATACCAAGAAAGAATGGGGTCTGCAGGCACTCATGTTATATCTACCTAAGTAACTTAATCTTTTTCCTCTTACCAGGAGCCATTTTCTTAGCACATTTCTCTCTTCCTCCTAGATGTCTGTGTTTATAGCAAACTTAGATCATAGCACTCTTCAAAATAATTAGACAATAATTGACCCAAAGACTGCCTTTTCTTTTTGAGGACCAGATCTTCTTACAATCTGGGAAGGATCAACTACAAAGGGCTCCATTTATAAACAAGGTAGATTAAACCATACTCATATTACAAATGCAAAATCAGAAATCATAAGCACTGAGAAAACATATGTACAATATCACAGTTTATGTAAGGCTTTTAGACTCTTCTCCAGTCAATACCTTTATTCTCAAATGATTTTCATCCCTCTTTGTATTTATCCAAATTGGAAATGACACTTAACATTACGCTGTCCTTTATAGAGTCAAAGCACTTAGCAAACTTTAGCAGATCTGGTTAATTTGCTTACAACTCTGTAATCCTATGGCTCATCATGATTAGATGCAGATGTAAAAAGAGTAAAAGCATATTTCTTGGGTCTTGTTAACTGGCTTCTAGAATAAAGAACCAGCCTTAGTAACAGTACTAATAATGTTGTTGCTGTTAGCTGCCATCAAGTCGGCCCCCCACTCATAGTGACCCCTTACATAATGGAATGAAGCCCTTGCTGGTTCTGTACCATCCTCATGATTGGTTGTGGTTTGGACTGAAATATTGATAATAGCTAGTTGTGCATTCCTACTTCCGTAGTGATACTGCCTCGGAAACCCAAGGAGGGGTCGCTATGAGTCGGGGCCGACTCGATGGCAAACAACAACAACAACAACAACAACATTTATTATTTGTTATGGACAAGGCACTATGCTAAACATATTATGTGGACTATCCCAATTTTTATTCCCAGTAACTCTGTGAGGTAGATAATACTGTTATTCTCATTTTCAGATGAAATGAGTGAAGTTCAGAGATGGTGAATAACTTGCCAGTTGACCCAGAGCTAGGAACTGGAAGAGCCAAGAATTCAAACCCAAGATGTTGTACTCCAGCATCCACATTCTTCCCCATTACACTCTAGTGTCTCACATGGTCCAGCAATGATGTTTGAAAAGAAACTACCCTTTGACCCAGGCTCACATGTTCATAACCAGCCCCTAGATTGACACAATGATGTGGTGGTATAGGAAATCACATTTTTCTAATTTTTCACGCTTTTGGTAACTTTTCTCCATCTCTTCTGATGTTAACGTTAATAAAATGAACAACAGCTCTTCAGTGCCCTTTTTAGTTTTCCAGTGTCCAAAGCATTCTCTAGGAGGTAGGGACTATTTGACCACAAAGTCCAGAAACCACTGGTGCAGTGCAATATGGAAATCTGCAGACATGACAGACACTGTGCCAGGAAGCCTTGGCTTAAAAAGAACAGTGTGTGCAACCTGAGCTAGTTCCAGCCTGGATAAATGATTGAGTGAATGAAAGAATAAGTGGAACAACCTACATTGGGGGTAGCCACTTTGAGAGTTAGTCCCTTCAGTCTAAGGATTCATCATCACAGTGATAGCTACAGTGCCTGAATACTTAGGGTATTTCTTTCATCACAAGCAATTTTTGATTAAGTTGATTGTTTTTCTTCTGCTTCAAATTTTCTCATCTGTCAAATGGGGAAAGAAAAGGGTTTCCTTCATTCTTTCTCCCCAATTGTTGCTCTTATTAGCCTAAATCATTTTTATGTGGGGTTGAATTAATCACTATAACATGACCAGAGCAGTTTGAAAACAATTTTTCTTTTTTTTAAAAAAATGTGTCTGTCATGATTTTTCTTACCTCAGTAGCTCTGTTTTAAGGAAGAGGTCACAGATGTATTGAAGTCTACAACTCTTGGATACATTAGCAGGAATGAATTTATAACACTATTAAAACGACAATGGTGACCCAAACAAAAACTGAAGACTAGGCGAGGCCCACGTAAGAAAGACCTCCAGACACCTCATCATGGATCCCTTTTGGGATTATTGTCTTTATGATGCTCTGAAACTTATGCTTTGTAATTAGAAAAAAAAATGATCCTTGATCTACTATATCCTGTGATGGAGTCATGGGCTTGGGCTTCCATGAAGTCAGAACAAAATGTGGGGTTGGCCAAAGCCTTGACTCTGCAAGTGCAACAGCATTGGGCCCTCCAATGATGAGAGGTGCCTGCTTACATGACTTCTGATAAGGCAGAAAGGTAATTAACCAATAAGAGACAAGGTGTTAGTGAAAAGTGGAGTTCACGCACCTGATTACTAATTAATCAGGCGTGAGAGCACCTTGTAGATGCATTCACTATTTAATTATAGCAGCCTCTCTTGGCAAAGGAGCATATGTTCCCAGCTTAATCTACTGGTTTATACTGACATCAAATTGTCATTATCAGAAAGAATCAGGCCTTTTGATTATTTCCACTAATTTATTGAACACTTAAAATTAATGAACCCCAGGCCTTTTAAATGTGCTCAGTTGGTTTGGAAGATGTGAGGAGAAAGGGGGGTGGTGGTGGAGAAAAACCTTCATTAAAAGGACAATTTGTTTGGATAAAGGTAAGGCAAATACATTTCATGGGTGATCTGAACTCTATTGGTGAAACACACATGAATTATAAAAGCTGAGCTTTTGAAATGGTAGAAAGGAAATAGGATACGAGGTGTGCCCTGCTGGCCATGCTTGTCCTCCAAAGAACATATGGCTAATGGTTTTATTTTATTTTTCCTAATTATTTATATGCTGATTCTCTAGGAGACATCACAATTAAGTTTAATCAAATAAAAGCAATCAAAATAAAATGTTGGATATCAATAGTTAGTTAACTAACTGGGAACTTCATTTTATAAAAAAATACTTCTTTTGTTAAAAATACACACAGCAGAATGTACACCAGTTCAGTAATTTCTATATCACAATTCAGTGACATTAATTACATTCTTCAAGTTGTACAAACATTCTCACCTTTTCCCAATTATAAAGACTTCAGTTTTTTGTTTTGACAATTTAGTTAGGAAGGGGAGAATTTAATATAAAGTCACCTTCTCACATGTGAGTATCTTTCATCTTAAAGAGCATATTAGCTGTGGTACTATCTTAAGATCATCTTGGCATAACAGTTAATTTTTAGTTGTAATTTTTGTATTCAGTCTCAGGTGAAGGCCAAGTTCAAGTGACTCTCCAGGTGAAAGAAGGTGTGGTCCCAACTGTTTCAGGTAAGCATTAATCCACCTAATAGAAGTGCCTAGTACAGCAGACTGTCCTTCTCCATGTCTTTTTGTAGTCGGGCAAGTATCTGTCCTAATGTTTTAATACCTGACAACAGTCTCTGTTGTATTACCCCAATAGCTAATATGTGTGTCTACATGTCCAAGAAAGACATAAGGACATATTTATTTTGTAAAACAATGGAAAGTAAGAATTGAAACATGTAAATAAGCACATTTTATAAATTATGGGCCATATGTGCACACAGGAGTCCAGACCTGCAGATGGGCCATTAGGCCTCCACCAAATGGAAAGAAAAACTCAGGATATCTCAATACTTTAATTGTTCCTGGTAATTTCAGAAAATCATGATAAACAAATCCTCCCCAAAAGTCAGATTGTTCTGTGAAATATTTCTAACTCATAAAAGCTAAATTCTCAAAGACTAAATGTCTCATAAGCACCTTCTAATGTGTTTCATTGTTTGTTTTTGTTTATCCTCAGTCAGTTTAACTATACACTTGCATTGGGGATGGATCTTTTCAAAGCCTTACTTTTCCTTTGATTTTCAGGAGGTACTTTTGTAGTATGTCAGAGCAGAGACCATGCTAATCAGAATAATAGAATGATCTAATCCCTCTAATTAATAAATATATGAGATAAAGATATTAAACTATAAACTAGAAATACTTGTGATTACAATTCCATGCTCATGAAGAATATGATTCTAAGATTGCTTTCATAACCAGTTCTGAGCTATCGTAGCACTTTGCTTTTTATTCTCCCCTTTTCCTTTACAGTGGCTCAAATTGTATTGTTTATTGAGAGCCTCTTGTGTGAGATTGGGCAATGGTGACCAAGATGGAATGGCCTTTGACTTCATAGAATCTTACAGTCTCCTCAGGATGTCAACCAAATGACTGACTAAATGATCAATTAGCAAATTTCCTTTATAATAACTGTTATTAAGAAAAAAAAAAATATATATATATATATATATATTTTCCCCCCTGAAAATGTTGTGTTTGAATTCTGTAGAAGAGATTGAGTTGGATGGTTGAGTCCCAGTCTTAAAATTGTTGTGGAGGCACTCATGCTGGGCCCCCTCTGAGAACATTTGATCATCCATAATGTCCATTCCTGGTTCAATCAGCTGTAGTTAGGGTGGCACATCTCTTGGTGCTTAGTTTGAAGATTTCTGTATAAAGAACACCTTGGAAGGACACTGTCCATGACTTCTGAAATGGGGCCAAATTAATTGAGAGATGCTTTCCTTGGCCTGCCAATTATAATGTGCTGAATAAAGAGAAAGCTGAAGCTTCATAAATTTGGAGCAATTTAACAAGGATCCTCACAGGCCATCTTATCCAGTTGCCTCAATTTACAAATATGGGCTTAGAGTCCTGGAGATTAAACAGTTTACTTAGTCACATCAGTGTTTAAACATATATTCTAATTCAGGTTTTCCAACTCATTCCAGTGTTCTTTCTATTATACTATGTAGTCTCAAAGGTATTTAAATTGCCTCTTTCTCTCTTGCTTCCTTTTTGGTATATATTAA